CCCGTACAGGGAAAGAGGACAGCCACACTGGGCGACTCCGCTCGGTCATCGCCCGGGTATTTCATTGTTGAATCCCACATTGGTGGTGTCTCTCAATCTGCAGTGCACACTAGATTCACCTAGGAATGCATTTAAAAGAGAAACAGTCCGTCGTCATCCTGTAGATATTCTGTTCTTTTGTTACTAAGGCTGTGGCCCTACCCGATAACAAAGAAACAGAATTTCCACAGGATGAGGCCCAGAAATCAGGATTTTAAAAAGATTCCCAGGTGATTCTAATGTGCAGCCCAGGTTGAGAACCACTGCCCTAATGGCTTCATCACTTTAAAACATTAACAAGCTGCTCGGTTCTCAGGCCCCAATTAGCTACTTGGCCCCGTTGGTTAAGAGGCTGCAGAAGGGATCCCGGTCAGGTGCAGGGTGCTTTTCTTTGACTTAGCAGGATGTGGCTGAAGGAGCAGATGCTGTGTCAGCGTGAGGGCGGGATTAGGGCGGGGTGGGGCGGGGTGGGGCAGGGCCAGGGACTAGCAGCCCCTCCAGCTGGATTAGGGGGAGAGGGTGTGTGTGTGTGTGTCACCCGCAGGCCACTCTCTGCCTCTCCAGCCTCCCACCCTTTATTTCTCCCTCAGGAAGAATCACTGAACCCTTTCAGGTGCTGGTGGGGAAACTGAGGCTAGAGGTGGGCTGGGCTTCAGGGGGCACCTCAGGAGGTCAGTGTAACTTTGGGCACTTTCCTGGCTCAGGTGGGTGGTCAGCATGGGTGAGAGGGCATACTGGGCCTAGTGTTTCCTCTCCAGCTTGGGGGGTCCTGGGGTGGGACAGCATCCAGCCTGTCCCAAGACCCCGCCAGGTGTCCTAGAGGCTGTCTGGATGGGAATGTCAGCTGAGATGGGGTAGGTGACAGTCACAGCAATAACTGAGCACCAGCTGTGTGCACTCAGCCCTCACTTTCTCCCCACTCTGGGTCCTTACAACACCTGCCCCCACCCCCCCAAGATGCCTGATCATAGGTGGGGCCCAGGTAGGGGACCAACCCGCCCCCCCCCCCTGCCAGTTGGCCTGCTGGGGCCACACAGCTAAGGGGCCCATCAAGATAGGAACCTGGGGCGCAAGCCCAGAGCCCAGCCCCCGTCACCAGGGAGGACAGGAGGGGTAGGGCCCCTGGACAGGCTGCTTGGCTGGGTTTTCTTGAGTCTCCAGGTCACTGGGTCAGACTGTTGGGTTGTGACAGCTGGAGGGAGTGGGTGGTCACCGGAGCATCCCCAGGGGGGACACAGCTGCAGTGGCTCCTATACACCTGCTCCGAGGGGCAAGTCTCCCATGACCCTTGGAGCCCGAGACCTGAGGGCTGAATACGGCACCCACAGATGGACCATAGTGGGGACCTGTGGGTGATGGCAAGTGGGTCCCCGGGGAGGCTGTGACCTCTGGCCTGGAGAGTCTCCTGGCTCCATCCCAGGGGTCTGTGTCCCCACAGGGGCTGCCAGTGGGTCATAGCTGGGCAGACCCCTCAGTGGGCAGACGACTGGCAGGTGGACTGTCCTGAGCTGAGTGATGGGGGCAGTGTGGACCCCAATGGGCCAAGAAGACGTTGGGGGTCACACAGAGAGACTCAGAGGCCC